GGGCATGTACTAAAACCCGAAACAGCGTAATGAAACAAGAGAAACGAACGAAACGAAACCACCGTAACGACCATGACGAAACGGCCGTAAATGACCAAAACAAACCACTACAACAATCGAGAAGAGCTGACGATGAAATGCCGAGGACAATGTAGATTCCGCTTCAGATATTCTCTCGCAATGTGCAACCCAGAGGCCAACCCAAGCCGATGGCAATCGAGAAACAACTAAATTTTCCTGTGGGATAGATAAGGAGTAGATCATAATTAATCGAAACGAGACAAATATGAAAGCTGATCCCTGACACACCTGGGCATTTATTTTATTATCATTGAATTTATTTTATTATCACTCGCCCGTTGGGCGAGTGCAATTTGTGGTCTTTGAAAAATTAATGAGTGCTTGTTTATTCCAAATTGCACGAAAAAAATCATGTGATTACGTGTTAAGGCGGGGTAAACCTAAAAAGTGCCCATTTTTTTAATCATTTTTCGTAATTAGGATTAAGTTGAAAACTTAAGAAAACTATATATCCCTGGAAAGCTTGTGATTTGAAGATCATGAAAAAAAATATTTCACACTCCACATGTCAATTGTAATAGGATACCACTCATTTAATTGCGCCACCTGCTGGGTTCTACCAAGGGTTACTTAAGAAAAGATAACTCCTTCTGGTATTACTAAAACATAATGTTTTTAGTATCTATTCAAAGAAGACATGTTGCTTATTGTTATGAGCAGAAGGATTTTTGGTATGTTGAAAACATTTTGAATGATGAGCGATTAAATTTGACATGGGAAATTAAAGGAGTATTTCACTTCATAACTTCAAGTACATATATCATATGGAAAATTGCTCTGCTTAGAACACAAAACTTATCAGGAGGAACAAACACTGAAAATTGCAGATCAATCAGATAAATTGTTCTCAATATATCTTTTCTTGAAGACAAAATTATTGCGTAATGAGAAAATAGCCTTTAAACTTGCGGATAGCGATCAAAATTAATTTTTTTCAAATATGTAACCACTATAGTGGCCCAAGTGTCCATATTTCGTCCACAGGAGTGACTAAAAGCCTCCTGGTTCATAGGTTACACCTTCAGCTTCTTGAAGGGCTTCCTCTCGACGAGTTCGCAGAAGTTGCTCCCCTGAATTTCTTTTCATGTTTTATCGTTACTAAATGCATCATGATCACGTACAGATGATTGCATTGGGTTCTCAATTACATTGTAGGTAGGTAAATAAGCAGCCAGGATTTGGGCGGGATCCCAACAATCCCATCTGGGATACCAGGTTGAGATTGCGGGATCTTGCCAATGCAGGTGGGGTCCCACCTTTCCCTGGGACTTACAGATAATCCTGACTGGGATCCTGCCTTGCAGTCAGCAATCCAGGTGGAAGAGGCGGCATCCCATCTGTCACACCTGTCTCAAGGTCATCCCACCTGGGATACCAGGCATTCCAGGTGGGAAAAATGGGATCCCATCTGGGACTTACGACAAGTTTCTCTCTAAAGCTTTTTGCTGTTGAACGTCTAATTAAAATGAGTAACTTTTAAACCACAGTTTAGAATGCGATGATCATATAAGCGAACAGTGCACTTTGGCCAATGAATATACCAAATTTTAACCTTGGTTATAACTGTACTCCTGGGCATGCTGAGCAATTAGGGTACTTTCAAAATTGACCATTTATTTTGAAGTTTTCTAAAAAGAAAAAGGAATTGCCTCTAAGTGTTATGGTTGAGACTTGGAGCATATTATGGTTTGACAAATGGCATTAATTTAGCTCTTACTACGATCATCATTGCGTACAAAGCAAATGGATTCAAACTTGGAATCTTTTGATGAGTGCAAGTTGTTGAATTTTAAAAGGAAGTTGTTATATTTTAGACCACAATTCGAAGTGCGATCATATGAGGCAAAAGCACATCTTAGCCAATAAGTGCACCAACTTTGAACATTTTTCACAATAGTTTTAAAAGTAACCATTCATTTAAAAAAAACGCGAATTCTATGCTCAGTATGCTGTATACAAGTCTCGCAAACTTTCAGAATTGTCCATGTGGGGTGTTACTTGGGATTTTGTGTAGGATGCTTAATATTCCTTGCTGAGATCCATCATACCACTTGAAGACAGTAGACAAGATCCAAGGTAGGAAGGGCAGGATACATATATTTTATTCGCCAGCCGGGAGTTCCGTATCGGGAAAAACTGTGCCCGAGGTCTTGAGTACCGCCCGAGGCTGTAGGCCGAGGTAAGTACTCAAGACAGAGTGCACAGTTTTTTCCCAATTCGAATCGATCTAGCCTGGTGAACAACATTTTTATTTTTTTCTAACACTGCGCGAAAGTTATGCCAAAATAATCTGAATGATTTAGGGCTGTAATTACGGCAAGATCTTCCTTGAACTGAACAATTTCTGAGCGAGTAAATGGTAGTTAAAACAGAGATAATGCAAATTAAAGAGAGAGACCTCACCGAAATATTTTTATTTGCGTAGCGACAAAGGTGATTTAAAAGGCTTCCAAACAAACTTTAAAACATTTTTACAAGTATCTGTCACAATCTGACACCTGTCAATTGTAGAGCACGTAAGAAAAATAAGCGCTTGTACACTTTTAAAGAAAAAATAAGGGTGCGGGTTTGGCAAACAAACTCAAGTTCAATGACTGTTAAGACAAATTTTTCTTCGAACTACTTAATGATCTAACGGAAAGTATTATTCACTTCCATCGATGATTAACGTACGATGAATATCCTTGTAAATTGCAAGGAAAGTAATTGTAAGTAAATCCAAATGTAAGTTTTGAAGTTGTGGGAGTTTGCTCGTTCGTTTGCCGCAATGACGCGTGTAAATCCGATCTTTTTCCACTAAATAACTTAAGTCAAATGAGACACTATAACTAGAACCAAGGGAAGTTAACGCGGCTTTTTCTCGTTGAATTCATTCGGTTTTAGCGGTACAATTTACGGTGCGTATTTGTAGTAGGACTTAAAACTTCACGGTCGACAACGAAAAAATTGTTTGAGAGAATTTAGATATCAAATAAATGAAAGTTCCGTGCCCCCTGAGAAAAAAATAA